CCCATTACATTCTCTCTTCCCTTGGTAGCCACTAGGTTTTGCTTATGACAACATGCTATTCTTAGGAAATATACAGTAATTTTATTGTCTATAGAAGTCCAACAACTTGCTATGGAAATAAAGGCTTGACCACATATATATTTGTTCATTGACACTGAAAGTGCCGTCTCGAGGAAGTATATGTAGAGTCGATTAGATTGTACTGTATACTTTAAGTTGAATTATGTACTCTTGTAAAATAACTCTTCAAAATTATTTAACTTCCCATGGTATAGTTTCAGAAGGTGCAAAAAAAAAAAAATCTCTGGCGTTATCTTTTCCTGTCACATGACTAGTGCAAACACACACACAAAAAAATCTTATCTTTTTGTTTCTTTTCTGGTACTTTATAAAACAGCATAACCGGTTTAGTTCCCAGACATTAAAGACTCCACTCAGAAAAGATCGGTGCTATGTATTCCGCTCTACTTTAAATTGTTTCCATTATATAACAGGAAAGGTTTAGCCATAAGGGTCTTTCAGTGTGTGATGGCTGAAGATTTTTTTTTCTTCAAAATAGCCCCAACCCTTCTCTACTGGAGACAGTGATGTTATCTGAACCCTAGATCCCTCTAATGTCTATAGGACTTGAGGGTACTGCTTGGACCCAGGAACAGTATCTGTATGGGAGCATCTTTAGCCCTAGAACAATATACCTCCTCCATTTAATTGTACCATCCTGGTGCATGTCCTGCAACTGTAACAGCTGTGATGAACAGTTTGATCTTGACCTGCCAGTCATGTCAATAAAAATACTTGATGTTTATTTCAAACGTTTTTGGTGTATTTGAGTAATCAGTGAACAGGCTATTTGAGAAATAGGTGCCATATAGATTATTCAACTTTGATCTATTTCTTTGATTTAGCACTACAATTAAGTAGATTTGCTTCAAAGAGAAAGCTCATTGGTTGATGTTTTACACTGATGTGATAATGTTTACACAGATGTGCTTTGAAATCTCGATTATGGTGGATTTTTGGGTCCCACCACATGACAGGCTCCTGTTATCTGAAAGGTAAAATAATATAACATCTATCTGTAACTGCCTTCAGAACAGGTCTGCCAGTGCTCTCCTCTGAGGTGATTTATCTGATCATTGTATTTAGCATTAATTTTTTCAGTTTTAAATCCCTCCACAGTAAATCACTTGCTTTAAAGCAGCCTTTTTATAATTCAGGTGCACACAGGGGCAGTACTTAGGACTGCAATGATGAAAAGGTGTCACATTACCTGCTTTAAAGCACCTGCCAATTAATTAGCCCTATACTCTCCATAGCAAAGGTAAGCAGTCAAATCCATTTGATCTCTCAGATTTAGACTGTGACTGAAAAGACCATGAAGTAAGACGGGAGAACTAATCTCTCATGATTCTCTGCAACTTTTTTGTTTAAATGAAACCTTAAACCACCGAGTGATTCTCTTGAACTTTTGAAAGAATTAACTGTGAAAGATCTTTACATTTTATACTCCAATACCATGTTTTAACACTGGCAAGGAGCAGCATATCTTAGATGCCAAGATAGGTCATGTCATTTAAGCCCTAAAATTCATTAGACTTTACAGAAAAAGCAGGAAAGATGGCAAAAGTCAAGCTCTTAGATTGAATGTAGTTTTACCATTGTTTTACCATTACCAGGGGAATATGTTTTCCACCAAAATATATTTTCCTGTGTGAAACATTCTACTCTGGGGATGAAAAAAAGTGCATATGCTGGAACTGAACAACAAAGTCCCAAACTGATTCAAAACATTGTAGAACTAGAACGGGGATCTTTCAGTAGATGATACTGCTAATTTATGATGTTCACAGAGCTTGGCTACGGGCCCAATGAAAAACCCCAAAGATGGATTAGATGAGCGCCACCTCTCAATCTTTCTTTCTTCTTCTCTGCAAGTTTTGAAAATATTTATCCCAAACGATGGGGCTGCCCGTTTATGTTTTTAAGATCTCCTGTCAATACCCAAATACTATCACGTCAATGATAAATTAAATGTGAGGGAGAATTTGCAGAGGGGAAAGCACCTCCCTGACTATGCCAATTTCTTTAGAAATTCCCCTCCTTGTAGTTGAAGCGATAAAAGGGAAGCGTAATGCATGTTCATTTTATTAGCGTTTCAGAAACAGGGAGTAAGACTGTCAGATCTTCGGGTTTTTTCTTTCATCTGTGTCTGGGCAGGTCTAACCCTCAGGTAACGCCCTTTCTCCTTCTTCCCTCCTGCCTCTCCTTGCACCTGTCCACGTAATGCTCCGGCAGCTCCCGCCCGTCCCCCGCTGCCCGCTCCGCTCCGCTCGGCG